GTCGTGCTTAGAGCTATAGTCTCTAGCCTGCTTTTTGATTGCCAATAAGGATTTCATCGGGGTTTCAGCCGATGAGTTATATGGACGTTGTATCGACTTATAAGGATTACATACGAATTGGATTTAGCCGATTGCAACAAAGGTTTAATTGATTAACTAATCATTTGGATTTTACGACATTGGACCTCCAGCCGATGTATTCTTTAACCTTCGGATTAGCGCTTATTCTATCATATCATTGATAGCCGATTGGTTTCCACTGAATTATATTAGTTATGTTACATTATCATCAGTCAACTGTCTTTATATCATTATCTACATTGGACATATAATCGATTATTCAAAACCCTGTCCACATTGGTTGGAATTACTCCATCGGCTTGTCAGCCGATCGGCTCTTTGATCTTCAATTTATATATCTTGTCAGTTGTAGGATCAAACTGACTGGCACGCCCGCATCTCATAAATATTCTGGACCAGCGCTGGAGCTAAGTAGATCTCCCAGGCCATTGTGTTCATCGACTTAGTTCGGGCCAACACAGATCTAGCACCATCGACCAAGCACGGATTTTTTTTGTCAACAAGAGGGAAAGTGATATCACCAAAGTTCTTGCAAAATAAGTTGTTTCCCAAAGTTCGAATCCTTGAGGGGATTCTACGCTCCGTTGAGGAGCTCACAAAGAGCCGGGTCTTAGCTAACTCTTTCCTCAAGAGGTTGCACAAAGCACTACTCCTTCCACCCACTAGTGGTTTTCTTTTCTTTCGGAGGCTAGATCTGGCATTCACAAACTTCTCCTGGCTAACCACAAGTACATTGGTGGCTCAAGATTGGCACTTAGCCGCTTAGGAGTACACAATTCCCAAGATTAAAAGATGGAACAAGGATCCCTTGGAGATGAAACTAGTACTCAACGAATCTTCACGAAGTTAACACCAAGCACTCACACAAACTCAAAACCACAACTCTCACACACACAAGGTCCGAGCTCAAAGATCGGTGGAGAGGGGAAATTAGAAAGCAAGGCTTAAAGTGGTCTCAAAGCAAAGCAAGCCAAGGGCGAAAATATTTGCATTAGCACCAGCAACCTTGACTTGGAGTAGGTGGGGGGGGGGGTATTTATTGCCACGCCCACAAATCCACCGAGGGAGTCAAATTGCAACTGTTTTGTTTTAATAGTTTGTGGGGAAGGGGAGGGGGGTCGAGATATTCGGTATTGTGGTTCAAGGATTCGAATAAGATTCGGTCACTAGTTAAGAGAGTCAAAGTGAGCTTATTGCAATCTACATTATGCTTCTAGTAAGTTGGCTTTTCTCCCCTTGGGCTATACTTGTTGCCCTTCCCTCAAATTTCTTGTATATATATATATATATATGCATAACATACCTATATATAATTTTAAAATTCTATGGGTATTCAGCTGATATCCATGAATCACATTGGATCCGGCCGCCAGCCGGGGCTTCATCGTGAGGAATGTTTTTCTAGACAAATCCAAGGGTGGTAATACGGAGTTATATCCATCCTAACTAACTGCCAAATACTTCTCTCAAGGGTGGAAATTAAAACTATTTGTCTCATGCCATATTATGTCACGCCACTTCAAATAAATCAAGCCATTAGATGGTAGTTAGATACCACATATTTCTCTTTTACTAGGCTCCCAAGTCCCACATTACATGGGTTGTCCATAGATAGCTAATTAATGACATCACAAATGATTCACCTTCGAAACCATTTTCTAATGGGAATCCTAAAAGATACCTAATTAATTATTTGGACGTCCCTAAGTAACCATCATCGCTTGATCTCACCTTTGTCGATCAGGCACCAAGATTTCTTCCACGTACTAAACATGTCTCAACTCTCGATTTTTGATGGACAAACAACTTCTTCATTGATGACCATATGTAACGTCGTGGCCTAATTAGAATTTGACATCTGTGATCCATGAGAGCTGTGTGCACATATCTGTTACCACATTGCTAATTTAGTAAGAGTGAAACCAACTTATAAGGCATCTTCCCTCTAACCATATCGCTCCTGAGTTAACTATTTTACACGAAGTGAGGATGAAAGTTTAAGTGGAGTGGTGTATGTAAGTGGGCCCACTTGTCGATTGGGCTGGCTACGTGGTTCTTGAGGGAAGGCTCACACAACATCATGTTTTCCACATGGAATAAGTTCACTTGACGTCCCTCAATTATACACCGAGTCTGTCTGAGGTCCCCTAACCGCAATACCAGAAATGTATACCCCTGAACTATGGAAAATCGTCCAAAAAAAAGTGTACCCCTGAACTAAGGAAAACCATCCCAAAAAAAAAGTGTACCCCTGAACTAAGGAAAACCATCCAAAAAAAATATGTACCCTTGAACTAAGGAAAATCATCCAAAAAAAAATGTGTACCCCTAAAATAAAAAAATGTGTACCCCTGAACTATGGAAAACCGTCCTAAAAAGGTCTCGAGACAATATAGATACCTGGTTTAGCTGACATGGCATCCTAGTCAGCAAAAATAAAATAAAAAAAATATGTGGGGCTGGGGCCCACATATAAGTGAGAGAAAATAGTGTAGCCCCCACATCTCTCCTTTCTTTTCTTTTTCTCTTCTCTTCTCTCCTTGCTTCTCTCGATCAATCGAGCCGGGCGTGACGACAGATGGGGGAGAGGTGGCCGGCACGACGGCGGCGGAGGCAGAGGAGGAGATCAGTGTGACGGCGAGCTCGACGGCTGAGAGGAGCAGCACGCGGCGCAGCGGCGGGGGAAAGGAGTGGCACGCGGCACGGCTAGAGGGGGGGGGGGAGAAGCAGCGTGGCGACGGGAGAAAGGAGAGGAGTGGAGCGGCTCTCCTTGCTTCTCTAGAGCGGGCGGGCGGTAGATGGGGGATAGACGATCGACGGTGGAGCGGGGGTGGCGAGGAGGCCGGTGAGCACTTGGAGAGGGAGGAGACGGGCGCGGCTCCTCTCCTCTCCCCCGCCGCTGCGCCACGCAATGCTCCTCTCCGCCACTGAGCACGCCGTCGCACTGGCCGCCTCCTCTGCTCCTCTCCCGCCGCTGCTGTGCGCTGCTCCTCTCCGCTGTCGCGTTGGCCACCTCTTCTCCTCCTGTCCCACCGCCGCCATCACGCCGGCCGTCTCTCTCCTCCTCTCCAACCACCGCCACCCCCGCTCCGCCGCCGCCGCCTCTTCACATTTGCCGCCGCGCCCGGCTCGATTGATCGAGAGAAGCAAAGAGAGGAGAGAAGAGAAAAAGAAAGGAAAGGAGAGATACACCATTTTCTCTCACTTACATGTGGGCCCCACATACTTATTTTATTTTTTTCTTACTAGGATGCCACGACAGCGAAACTAGACATCTATACTGACTCAGGACTAGTTTTACATAGTTCAGGGGTACACATTTCTGGTATTGCAGTTAGGGGACCTCGGACAGACTCGGCGTACAATTGAGGACGTCAAGTGAACTTATTCCTTTCCACGTTGTACGATCTTTTCTCAGAAACAATAATTAATTTTTTCCTAGAGTGATGGAAAATGTTAAATGCATCTGTAATTCTGTATGCACGAGCAATACGTCTTCTTTCCCCACCGAATATTTCACAAGCGTTAAACTATGTACTCCCACAATAATGTATGGGGAATCATCCAGCATATTTTACATGTGTGGGCCAACAGCCGAGATGGAACAGGTGCAACAAATAGATTAGCATCTGAGAAATTTTAGCACTTATAGGATTATTTTGCTATAGAAGGCAAGTTCCACTGCTGTTCTGGTGGAAAAGGTACATGTGTGTTTGCACAGATTTTTTTTTATTGATAATGGAAGATTTCATTTGGTCATTGGACGAGTACACATATGATTTCACTCTCGGAAACCACCTGCCTCTTAGTTACATCCAAAATGCATGACCGGTGCACATCTCAACATGGTGTAACATATGATATCTTAACCAACTTTGCACAATTAAATAACTCCTAATGATAACCTTAATTAATTATCACTCACTTCATTGTCCTAAATCAATTTCCATTAGCATGTTGATGCCTTTTGTCCATTAGGCAATAATTATCAGGCATTTGTGAGTTACATCCAACATAGTGTATCATTCATTCGCCTTGTCATGCTATTCAAATGAAAACCGCACCACAGTATGCGACAAACATAAAAGTGTAAATCATGGAGCCTTTAGGAATGGAGTTAAATGCCATCATATGTGTGGCATATTTACATGAATGCCACCGTCTATTCTGATACTACCTCCTGGTTAGTTGATAATACTTATTCTTTTGGATAGGATAAGGACATGGTCTTGAAAAACAATTTTAACTATTAATTTTTATTATAACATATATAAAAATATTAATAAATATATACTTTTTGAAGAATTTTTTAAAACCAATCTCTATAGATGATCATAATTCTAAGAAAAGTATTTTAGATGCTATTTATAGTTAAAGTTTTTAAAGTTTGATTATAGGCTTTGTCCATAAAGATAATAATTATTAACTTGGAGATAGTAGTTAGTAGTGCGTTATGTAGCTTTCCATTAAGATATATATTAGCATTTTAATATTATGAATGTGTTTTCAGTAGAAACTATAATGACACAATTTTCTAGCTAACTTTAAAACTGTGAAGGCGTAGATTCCATCTTTTTACCATTAGTTTTTGCAAATTCTTATGGTTTAACAACATGCAAATTATATGCATAAAAGTATTTCCCATGGTGAATCTAAAGAAAATCTGATGATATTATACTATATGAGTTTTTAAAAGTTAATGGTTAAAGATGAAAATATTTGACTTCAGATGAACTAGAGTGTAAGAAAATTTGAAATAAAGGAGTACACGAAACCAAAACACACATTGAACAAGGACGGTCCAGTGGACTCTTGCCCGAGAAAACTCCAAATGCTGTACATAGTGGCTTAATGGTAATTTACCTCGTAGCAAATGGCCACATTGGGGTTCAGAAAAATGTCGTCAGCAGGCCCCTCGACCAGCTACAATTGTATATCACTTGGCCTCTGGCCAGATTGGTGGAGAAAGGCAAGTTCTCAGGCTGCAGAGGAAGCAGAGCTCCAATCTGTTCATGCCAATGGCTGCTGGCACCTGGGTGAAGGTAATTTCTCTTGCTTACTCATACATATGCAATTGATTGTGTACTCCCTTGATCTATACCTTTTCATAAGAAAGGTTTGGTTCAGTTTTGGGGGAATTTTTTTGGCTGAGATTTGTTCATGTTGCAAGAGTATTTGGCTATTTGCTGCTTCGAGTGATGGTTATGGACATGGATTAGTTGGGAATTGGGGCTTGTTTCTGAAGGTTGTTCATATATTTTGGGGAGGGTTGTGGATTGACCCTGCTAGGATGAAACTTTGTTCTAACCCAAGAATTTTGACATTTGGGGATTTTTTTTTTCTAGAGCAGATCACTAAGGAATCAGAACATGAGGCTTAGAATTTTTGTTTTTAAGGAATTAGACTTCGAAAATTGAGTAGCATGTTCAGAAGCTAGGGATTTCAGATTATAAAAGGTTGGGGTTTAATTAGCGAAGAAGTTTCAGGTTGTGATGCTATGCTGCGGTGTTGATTGGGTAACAGTGACGGATTGATAGCCATGGACATGAAAATGAGTTGGGAACTTGGGTTTTATGTTGGTGATAGTAACTGTTTGAAGATTATATAAAGGGTCAAATATCTTCGGTGTATCTTGTTGATTCCAGTTTTCCAAGGTTTGTTGACAATGAAGATTATTCGGGAGGGCGTTGTCAGAATCCATTTCAGTTTCAGCTCTCTGGAGTTGACCAAGGGATTTTGATTCCAAATTTCCAGGGCGATAGCAAAATGCTGACTTCAAATTTATGTGTCAATAACATTTCCAGTCAGTTTTGAGAAGTACAATTTGTGTTATTCAGGTGTTTCTGAAAACTGTCGACTGTCTTCAATATCAGATGCACAAAGAAACCCTGGAAATGCAGAAATTCGGGCCATTAGGCTCATGAACATATGCAAATAAAAAGCGCCGCCACATATAGACATCCACATATTAGATGTCACTTAAACTAATTAGTGAATTCCTGGAAATTTTATAGAAATTACAATCCTGTATAGAACGCAAGAATTTCATAGCAAATACTAATAATCTTCGAACACAAATTGCTCAGCGAGAGAGTAGTAATTTTCTTTGCAGATTGCAGCATCCAGTTTTGTCTAATTTGATTAGTAATTGACATCAGTTAATTAATTAATTAATCACGCGCAGCTAGAGCAGAAGGGAGATGGGCCGGGAGCAAGAAGCTCCCACGCCATCACCCTCGTCGGCGGCACGGCGTACGCGTTCGGCGGCGAGTTCACGCCGCGCGTGCCGGTGGACAACGCCATGTACGCCTTCGACCTCAAGTCGCAGTGCTGGTCGGCGCTGGACGCCTCCGGCGACGTGCCGCCGCCGCGCGTCGGCGTCACCATGGCGTCCGTCGGCGCCACCGTCTACATGTTCGGCGGTCGCGACCAGGAGCACAAGGAGCTGAACGAGCTCTACTCGTTTGACACGGCGACCAACAGATGGACGCTGCTGTCCTCCGGCGCCGGCGACGGCCCGCCGCACCGGAGCTACCACTCCATGGTGGCCGACGCCGCGGGGGGCGGGAAGGTGTACGTGTTCGGCGGGTGCGGCGACGCCGGCCGCCTCAACGACCTGTGGGCCTACGACGTCGCCGCCGGGCGGTGGGAGGCGCTGCCGTCGCCGGGCGAGGCGTGCAAGCCGCGGGGAGGCCCCGGGCTGGCCGTCGCCGGCGGGAAGGTGTGGGTGGTGTACGGCTTCTCCGGCGAGGAGCTGGACGACGTGCACTGCTACGACCCGGGCACGGGCGCGTGGTCCACGGTCGAGACCACCGGCGGCGGCGGCGGCGGCGACAAGCCGTCCCCGCGCAGCGTGTTCTGTGCCGCGGGGATCGGGAAGCACGTGGTGGTGTTCGGCGGCGAGGTGGACCCGAGCGACCTGGGGCACCTCGGCGCCGGCAAATTCTCCGCCGAGGCGTTCGCGCTGGACACGGAGACGGGCGCGTGGGCGAGGCTGGACGACGCGGGCGAGCACCACCCGGGGCCGAGGGGATGGTGCGCGTTCTCGGCGGGGGAGGTGGACGGCCGGCGAGGGCTGCTGGTGTACGGCGGCAACTCGCCGACGAACGATCGCCTCGGCGACATCTACTTCTTCACTCCGCCGCTGGCTTAATAATTCCTGAACCGGCGAGCGACCTTGTCGACCTCCGTCATGCAGGTGTCCGCGTGCTTCCCTTCTGAGCGTTGGGTAGTTGTGTGGTTTGTCACTGTGTTTGATGTTGGTGTTGGTATCATGTTATCCTGTGTTGTGTAGCTGATGAAATAAATGTGATGCATTGGTCATTGGTGCTGCAAGAGGCTTCAAATGCCTGTTTTCCAAACAAAATGTCGCCTAAGTAACTAAGTTCATAGGGTACTTAAGGGCTGGGCTAAGATAGCTTGAAATTTTGAAGTATTATTTCATTTCCTTTCGGTCGTTCAAATTTGGTTAGAATCAGTATAAATCCAACGTAAATCTATATCTTTACCTACTTGGAAAACAAAGTATGCCTCTAAGCCCCCTTTGTTTCATGGGAGTAGCTATATTTATGGCGTTATATTTTTCATCAAAAATAGTCGGTATGTATTTATATTGTAAGTTCCTAAATTACATATTTAATTTTAGTGTATTTATAATGTAGCTCTCATATTTATATACATAAGTCGCAAAATTACATATGTAAGTCCCAAATAAATTTACATATGTAATCAGTATGTAATTATAGTGTAAGTACGATGTAATTAGTATGAATAATTTATCCACTAGTGATATAGTTTAATCTCCAAGTATAAAAGCAAATACTAGCACAAATCTTGAAGATAATCTGTTGAGTTGTGATACAAATTCATTTGCACTTAATAAATGCTAGCTTCTACCGTAGTAAAGCGGAGGCCCGTCGCCGGGAGGCTTGGGCCGGAGCGTAGCGGACGAAATGACAGTGGGCTTGCTTTCCGTTCCCCTATTCCTAATTTGAAGAGCTAATTTGCGGGATTAACAAGAGGATGGTAGTGGACGTTCGACGCCTCAAGTCCTCAACGCCCGCATGGATTCAATGCAAGTAACAAAAATGGGGTCCTCCTATCTGTTGGACTGGGGGCCATATGTCATACAATTAGTGATATACCTGGCGCCAGTAATTTTTGAGTGGGGTCCAGGGCCCCCACACCTTGTATGGTAAATCCGCCCATGCGCACAACCATTGCTAGTGGACTAGATTGCTTTCTGTCGCCTACGTATAATATCCTTTTAGGTGGCCATCATAACCTAGCCGTTGCGAAAACATTCTTCATTAGTGACTGCTTTACGACAACCGCCAACGAATATATTGCATTTTCTGTGACCTTCGGTCGCTGGCGTATGAGATTCTCGCCACTTAAAACATGAAATGGATGCCAAGGATTAACGGTTATCCTTTTTATAGTAGTGAAATGTAGCCTCTACTCTATACAAACTGTAGAGAATAGCGTGGATTGAGAGCAAAGTGTATTTTTTTTGAATTGAGAGCAAAGTGTATAGGGGTTATATAATAGAGATAATTAGTTGCATATATACCCTAGCTTTAAAATTAGAGGTGGCACTTCCCCGAAAAAAAAAAAATAGAGGTGGCACTTCTGAGATCTAAACAACCTCACGAAACACGTGGCTTTTGACATCTCAACCACCCCACTACCCTACAGTCTAAAATCCCAAATTGTGATCCTGATACAGATAGGCTGCTACCCAACGACCGAACCATTGTATCCCGGTACTGATATGGCCGATCCGATCCATTGTATCATGCGACCACCCTCCCTCCTCCCCAACCAGATCGACCATTATATCCGTCTCTCCCTCCAACCTCCTCGCTAGACCAGAGCCTTCCGTCGTGTCAGTGTGCCACCCAAACTCACCATGGCTTCTGACTTCAAGGCAATCCCCTTGATCGGTAAGCTATGTCTGTCTTTTCCAGGTTTTTTTTTTCTTTTGAGCTAAAGAGAGAATTTATATTAATGACTGATGACTGACTAGGGGGTTACACTCCTGACTTGACAAGTCAACGATCCTTATTGCCAGTTAAGCAAGCCTATTTTTTACTATGGCCATGTTTAGTTCCAAAGTTTTTCTTCAAACTTCCAACTTTTCCATCATATCAAAACTTTCCTATACACGTAAACTTCCAACTTTTCCATCACATCGTCCAATTTCAACTAAACTTTTAATTTTAGTGTGTACTAAATACAGCCTATGTCTTTTTCTTGTGCACCTGCACACTCTGCAAGCACTACACTCTGCAAGTACTTTAGAAATCAGCATTATCCATGAGGATCCTTATGGACTCCTTATCAAGTTAAAACAACCACTAAAACTAGCACAGTTTTTATGGCACTTTTAACGTTGCCTATAATACTTTGCTATATAGACATTTTTAGGCATATTTTGTTAAATCTATCTTGTAGAGGTATATTTTTGGTACTTCAAAATTTTTCTCATATGTAAAGTCATTTTCTCAAGACATCTAAACCTCGGTTGAGTCACTTTCTAAATATTAATATGTGCATATATAGAATTAACACAACACATACATTTACAAGTAATGATATAAGGTTCAGATAATTAGTGCATTGAAGATAAAAATAATATACTCACGAGTTTAAGGATTGGTAATACTTCCTCCGTTTCACAATGTAAGTCATTCTAGCATTTTCCACATTCATATTGTTGTTAATGAATCTAGATAGATATATATATTTAGATTCATTAACATCAATATGAATATGAGAAATGCTAGAATGACTTACATTGTGAAACGGAGGGAGTAGCAAGGAAATATATTTTTTTCTATTTTCACATTGCTTTGCTATAGGTATGGCAAAATTTAATGCCTGTACAGACATTAAAAAAATACATATTCTTTTCTAAAGATAATTTATCAAAATACATTTATTAGACATATTTTTAAAAGGTCTCTGCTGCATTGTAAAGGCATGTTTGCCTCTATATAGTACTAGAAAAATATCTCCACAAACGCAGGCTGTGTTTCTAAAAAAAAACTCCACAAAATATTTTTTTTGTAGTGGTTGTTTCTAAGATAATCAGCATGCGCACCAATTTAATCGTCACTGGCGTATATCTAAACAACTTGCTTCAACCTACCCTGCATAACTGCACTGATACCGTTTTGTATGCACTGATAATTCTTTGATTATCATTCCTGTACTTGCTTCACATGTTTCTTTTCTGAATCCAATATCAACATTAACCTTTGCGTAGCCTTCTGTCGGGTCTTGCCATTTATTATTTGCATAGCAACATTATATTCTTCAAATTTCACTATTTTTGTCCACATACAGAGGCCCCATACTGTTAACATCATCAGTCCATTGTCGGACAGGCAATATGTTACCTTCAAATTGACTGAATCTGAAATTGTGGCCCTTCCATACTATAGTAGAATTCTTGCTTCACTGCAAGATTCAGATTATGAAATCCTGGTCTGGTTATGCTTCACCGCAATAATTCTTTTGCCTACTTTGGGACCACCATTTTCAGTTACTTCAATTAAGGCGTGTTCGGTTAGTTCCTCCACAAGAGGATTGAAGAGGAATCGGAGACGATTTATTTCACACCTTTTGAGGGGATTTATTTCTCGATGGGGAATTGCATGTTGTCATCTCTAATTAAGCTCACAGTAGCAGTGGCACAATGCAAAAGATTAGTACCACCATCGCCAGCTTGTTTGCGGTTTAAAAGGATGAAAAGCCCAATTACAGTACAAAGTATTGCAGTCTTAACAACTTGATTTGTATCTGAACCCTTTTTAAACCTTGAACATTACAATTAAGGCTGAAAAAGAACTCGAGTCTCACATGCTACTCGTGCTCCAGACGATCAAGCCGAGCTCGGGCTGCCTATGCCAAAGCTCGTGAGCTTTGTCAAGCCTCCTAATCGTTACATGTTACAGCTCTCAGTAACTAAAACATGCTGGAGCTGATATATCTTATATATTGATACATTGAAATCTTCATCTGAAAATTTCACCCTTTTTTTCATTCTCAGACATTAGCCCACTTGTTGAAAAGATCGATGATCCAAATATGGCCAATGACAAGGATTTGCTGCAAGTTGTCCGATTGTTGGACGATGCATGTAGGGAGGCTGGATTCTTTTATGTGGTAATTACACGTTTACTTACCTTTTTAGCATCACTTTATAGTACAATGGGTACAGATCAACAAGAATATTTTGATGTAGCTGTGTCCTTGCGTTGCAAGCTATGATTTTTATATTACTACCGAAGCTAAGTAATGCAAATGTTCATCTGTATGTTATTATTATTAACAGAAAGGCCATGGGATTGCTGAGTCGCTAATGAAGGAAGTTAGGGACGTCACACACAAGTTCTTCCAACTTCCTTATGAAGAAAAACTAAAGATTAAAATGACACCTCAGAATGGATATAGGTGTGATTTCTTATAGTACCATTTTAAGTTCCAACATTGATTTTTCCGTGCTCCGTTTTGGGTCGTTCAAAGCGTCCTTTCTCTATGAGTAACTTTGTTCTCTTGATCATCAGAGGATACCAAAGACTGGGCGAAAATATTACCAACGGTAAACCTGACATGCAGGAAGCAATTGATGTAAGTTTATTTTTCTTTCTTTATTTTTAGTGACCCATTAACTTGTTACTAGTTAATCGCTGAGAAGAAAAAACGTCACAGTATTATGCGCCTATTGAACCTGGTAAATATGGAGATCTTGCCAAACCAATGGAAGGAACTAATTTGTGGTATGTTTCCAACCTTTCATCTTTGTTTGTTTTCATTTTATACCTTGGCGCTATATTATTTGGAGCCCTTTATGGAGGTAAGAGGTACTGTTATTTAGGTTATGTTTTGTGTTATAAAATATATATTTGCTTATCTTTAGTAATAAAATGACAGTAAAGAGGAAAACATTAATGACAATATATAGAAATTATTATTGCCATACATCCACTAGAAGAAACAAAATTAATTCAGGCAACCATGAAAAGTGTCTATAATAGAAATTTTACTTGAAATATACTAGCACCATTGTTTTCAAAACTCAAAAGAAAATCTTAAAATTTGAAGTGGTTCATATGTTTAAAGAATTACTTAAAATTACATAACAAATGATTGAAAGTTTGAAAGTGAATAGTGTCTAGTGACGATTATTATCAAAACGGGTGGAGTAGCAAGTGAAAAATACTTTTTTCTTCATACTTCAAGATCTATTACCTCTAAATGAGGAAAGAGAAATATCAATATGAAATGAATGGCCTAAAATAATCCGGGAGTACTATAACAAAAGCTCATGTTATTTAACATATGTGAGAGATATTGCTTGCTTGACTTTCATATAAAATGGTACCACAATTCTACTTATTGATCACTTACTATGCATTGATAATAATTATGATAATATAATTAATTTAGCTTATAGCACACCTCTATTTGGAAGAATGAAGGAAATGAATTTCTAATTTACAATATATTAATAATAACAATATGTATCATGTTATGCAATATGGCTACAATTGTGAATTATTTGTTGTTGCATATGTTGCTTCAATATAATGTATTGTTGTTACTAGAAGCATTTTGAATAGTTGAATTATAGCATTCCATGTTATATATTTTGATACTACTAGTTGAATTACTTTGCTATTACTGAAGAGCTGTTCTGAACTTAATTTGGTACCCTTCCCTTGAGTACTTTTGGTTAGAAATATTTCAAATTCAATTAACCATATCATTTACTTTGATGCAGGCCAAAATATCCATCAAATTTTGATGCACTACTAAAAAACTATATCAGCCTTCTAAGAGGTTCACTTTTGAACTTAGTTTAGATCTTAGCTATGCATCTATGTTATTTATCCTTTTTTTTTTCTGATGGAAATTTTACTTATAGATCTTTCCAGAAAGATCATGCAAGGTATAGCCTTGGCATTGGGTGGGCCAGTTGATGCTTTTGAAGGTAGAACCGCAGGAGATCCTTTTTGGGTTTGCAGGTTGATTGGTTATCCTGTATCAACCGATATTCTAGAAGAGCATCGCACTGACACTGGCTGGTAAGCAAAATGTATCTATGTATTTATTTGGTAGTATATTGTGCTAGAATGTACTTACTAGATTCATCTGACACCGTTTTTCTCTTATGTCACATCCGTTCTGCGATCAATTCAGTGGAGCTCACACAGACTATGGTTAGTACTTAGTACATATCTTTCAGAAGTTCCTTTCGAAATAGACTTTTATATATGGACAACACATACATAAGGTGCTTTGATGCATTGTAAAAAGTTTCACGTGTTTTCTGTATTTCTGTTTATCAAACTCATGAAGATCATTTTTGTCATTTGATTATATTACAGGCCTTCTGACATTGGTTAACCAAGATGATGACATATGTGCCCTTGAGGTACTTGTTTCTTCACCATCCATATATCTTATAGGAATACATGCTTTCTTTGTGTTTGAATATTACTCAAGTTCCACTTTTTACCCTGGACTTAAAACTAATCGTTTTTACTAGAAACCTAGACTAATATCATCCTTGACCCTGTTTAGATATTGTTTCTATCGAAAAATTGGTGGTTTTACTTTATGTAGACTCTTATTTCGCACATTATGTCTAATACTATATAACTATATAGTTGATCCTCACTAAGTGTAGTTAATGCTATATATTTTCTATCATGTAGTTAATGCTATATATCTTCTCTCTCATTAAACCACATTACCTCAATTGTTTTTAACCACTTGACCATTAACCTATGGTACTATGACTATATAGTTTATCCCCACTAAATCTAGTTAATGATGTTTCTCTTCTCTCTCATTAAGTCACATTACCTTAATTGTTTTTAGCCATTGGATTAATCTATGGTCCAAATTGTCTCCTTTCTTTTTCTTCACTCATGATGCTTCACCTTAGGTTTTGCCTTAACTCATTGAATGATCAGTATATATTCAATCTAAATTATCATAACGCACATCATCTCAATTGTTTATAGCTCTTTTCAGAGATTGATTAGAGATGAAGTTATACAAAGTATATAAACTTATACATTTTGCTACAAAATAAATTAAACCTATACTTTATTTCTATCATTATAGCATAATATTTCCATAGCAAAGCACGGGATTTCATCTAGTTGGCATAATGGTTGTGTACATCGATGTGGATTTTAGGGACTGGATTGTTATCCTTTATCTTAAAAATGTTGGGGAAAGTCATCTTATAGGGGACCAGGCATTGATAGGATCAGAAATAGTATTTGTGTGGATCTGGAAAATGTGTAGTAAAAAACAATTATTTTACGGAGCAAGGAGAAAATGGGACTACAAGAAAATTAATGGGCCACCCAAAATGGACTTTATCCTATCTTATACTTACTCATCCATGTCGTGCTCTCTGTTTTATGTGTCCCTCAAATTTGTTGAACTAATCTTTTTAGTCTCCCTATTCCTTGTGATATTTGTTGTACACAATTAACATTTCAACTAAACATGTTCTTCTATCCCATTGTGCAATTCACGAATGAGATCTTGGAAGCCACTTAATCTTGCACCGGAATTTGATCTCATAGTAGTAACCAAGGTCTAGTTTCATGGCCGCAAACCAGAAACCATAAATTCGGATCCATGCCATACTTTATATACCGATCTTCACTAGGAGTTTGTTTACTCGATGATTCTCATCTTTGAACCATTGTGTTTTTCTCTATTCTAATAAGGAAAAAGTATGAATTACCTCCCCTCAACTATTGCGGTCGGCCGAATTATACCCCCAAATTGAAATACCAGACATTATAAACCCTCAACTATTCATACAGGACAAATAACCCTCCTCAACACTGTTTTGAGCGGTTTTGACTTAAGCTTGCACATGTGGTGCCAACGTTTCAATCTAGTCAGCAAAAAAATAAAAAAAAACTCCATGGGGCCCACCTGTCATACCCCTCCCTCAATCCAATCCTTCCCTAGTGGTTCTCTCTCTCGCACACGCGCTCGAGCAGCCAGCTACAGAGCCCATGAAGGAGGAGGCGGACCGGATGGCTGGTGACGGAGGCGGAGCATGCCCGGGCGGCGGGCAACTGAGGCGGAGCTCTTTCAGGTGACTAGCCACAGAGACGGAGATTGCCCACACGGCGGGGGCTTGAGGCGGAGGTCACTCGTGCAGCCGGCCGGAGGCGGTGATTGCCCGCACGGAAGAGGAGACGGAACAGGTGACCGGCGGCAGAGGCGGAGCATGCCCGGGTAGCGAGCGGCTGAGGCGGAGCTCGCCTGTCCGGCAGAGGAGGCGGACCGGGTGGCCGGCGGTGGAGGCGGAGCACGCCCGGTCAACGAGCGATTGAGGCAGAGCTCGTTCTGGAGGTTGGCGGCGGAGGCACAGATCGCCCGGGTGGCGAGCGGCTGAGGCTTAGCTCGCCTGGGCGGCCGGTGCCGGATCGGGTGGCCGGTAGTGAAAGCGGAGCTGGTGCCACGCGTGATAGAGAACTTACGCTCCAGCGAGGATGCCCTCCCCGGGGCCCGCCGCTCGCCCAACCCCTCCGCGACCTTCTTTCTTCATCCAGATCACCGCCTTCTCCGCCCGGACCACCACCGCCACCGCACTGGGGAGTGAGTCGGAAGAGAAGGAGAGGGGAAAGGGAGGAGCGGCGGTGCCGGCCCTCCTCGCTGCTATTCGCCTCCTGCACAGCTCCATCTCGTGCATCGCCGCCGTGGACGCGGCCACCGACACCCGTCACTCGTACGTCACGTCCGCAGTCGCCTCCTGTCCTCCGATCCCCGCCCCGCCCACCAACAGCAAAGAGAGAGGGATGAGGTAGGAGTAATTGACAAGTGGGCCCATAGTTTTTTATTACTTTTTTTATGATTGGATTGCCAAATTGGCGCCACATAGGATCAAAATCGCTCCAGATTGAGCCAAGGGGGGTAATTTATCCGGTTTCAATACTTTAGGGGTATCAAATGTCCGGTTTTGTGGGTTTGGGGGGGTGGTAATTCGGTCAACCACGATAGTTGAGGGGAGTAATTCATAGTTTTTCCTTCTAATAATAAAGAAGAGGGGAACTAAAACAGATCAAAGATGAGAACTTGATTTTAGTTTCTTTTTAATTATTTTAAAGATCAGTATTTTTTTTCATGGCAGAGCACATCTGAGCTGTGCATGGTTATATAGAATTTCTCACTGGATGATCTAGCATGAGATGCTTCTACACTTCTGTAACATTCTAAGCATGTTCTAAGATGCATAAGTAATTATGTAATTACCATATTACAGTTGCTGCCCACTGTTCATATTTAGCCTTAACTGGGTGAAGCAAACAATTTTGATTTGAGTGAAATATCTGGTGAATATATTTCAGGTCAAAAACCAATCAGGTGAGTGGATTTATGCCAAACCAATCCCGGGAACCTTCGTCTGCAACATTGGTGACATGCTGAAGGTCTTTTTTTTTCTTCGTTTGCACCTTCATTGTCATCTTTTTATTGTCATCAAACTTGTGACACTTATCACATGTCATATTTGGGTTAGGTTTGGTCAAATGGAATATATCAACCAACACTTCATCGAGTTGTTAACAATTCCCCTCGTTACCGTGTATCTGTTGCCTTTTTCTATGAGGTATATTACTTGCTTAATCCCCTAGCTCATCTTAATACTACACATCATTTATGTGAAGTTGCTCTCTCATTGTTCTTTCTTTCTGAATTCATGCCACAGTCAAACTTCGATGCTGCCATAGAGCCTGTTGAGTTCTGCCGGGAGAGAACAGGTGGTGTCGCCAAGTATGAAAAGGTTGTATACGGGGAGCATTTAATTAAAAAAGTCTTGAATAATTTCATCAAATAAATTTGCGGAACAGAAAAAACAAACGTGTATGCACTCCAAGATCATATCACATCATTTATCAATAATACTGTTTGTGAAATTTTATTGTAGCACTTGTTGCATTTCTATAATTTGCTACATTTTAGGGGCTATCTTAACACTAAAGATAGAGTTCCTTTATGGTTCACCGTACTATGCTATAGTAGTGGGTTGTACTAGTGATCCAACGATTCGTTGGCATAATAAGCCTGGCCTAAGGTCATGCCTGTAACTCGCCTGGCATCTGTTTGGTTGCTACCCTGAGGATTCTAGCCTGATAAATCTTGCCTGAGTGTACTCGCCTGAGTCAGGCGTACAAAATGGGTGGCCTGAGCATTTCGCTCCACCTGCCTGAGTAAAATCACCGCTCTTCTATACAGTAGTGAAAACGAGACCACTTCTTCCTCCTCCTCACTGCTAGCCTAGGGTTCTTGCGGAGACCAGTTCCCATCGATTCTTCCATGGCTCCAGCAGCGGTGACCAAGGAACTTGCAGATCTGGTGGCCAGTTGTTTCTTTTTCCAGTAAAAGTCCTGCATTTGGTGATCTGTTAGAGCGTAGCTCTGACCGTGAGAGCTAGCAGGTAAGTAGAAAAAGAAGAGTACTTTGTCCAGATCTGAAGGGAATCAAAATTTCTAACTCTCTCCTTTCCTCTGTGCGCGTCAGATTGCCAAGCCCCCACAATCTTTGCCACGATTTTCTGCAGCAAGGTGAGAACACAATCGCAGTTTTTTTTTTTACTTTTCCCCTCTCTTGCTGCTTTGTTATTCAAGGATCCATAGAGAGTATGCCTATTAGAAGTAAAACTATGTCAAAATGTGTGCTTTTTTTCACTAGTTTCTTTTTTTTTCCTTTGTCGTGTGATGCTCAGATGGATCTAGATTCTACTCATCAGTATATTGTCCATCAACGAACTAGAACTTTGGGTGTTTTAGCTGTTGTGTTGGCAATTATTCGCTGGCGACGTCGTATAAGAAATAGACGACATCCAAGGAAGTATGGTCCATTGGTGGATAGAGATTTGGTCAGGAAAACAAGATTAGATGATTTGTACAATGGGAGTGATACAACTTGCATCAGTCAGCTTCGGATGAGGAAAGAAGTGTTCTGGAAACTTGCCTCCAAATTACGTGATAATGGCCTACTATGTGACACAATCCATGTCTCAGTGGAAGAACAATTAGCTATGTTCCTGCACACAGTTGGCCACAATTTAAGAAATCGTGTGATTGGATTCTATGTCATAAGATCCAGTGAGACAGTGAGCCGGTACTTCAATGAGGTGTTGAAAGCTTTATGTTGTCTTGCTAAAGATATGATACAAATTAGGTCAATAGAGACCCATTCAAAGATAGTTAGTAATCCTGGCAGATTCTACCCATATTTTGAGGTATCTCACGTGAAATATACTTATTCAACATTCTAATTAATGTAACCACTTTATGTTTGTATAGTAATAATTTCTTCTAACTTAGGATTGCATCGGGGCATTGGATGGCACACACATCCCTGCATTTGTCCCAGAGAATATAGTTAACAGGTTTAGAGGTCGCAAGTCCTATCCAACTCAGAATGTTCTTGCTGCGGTTGACTTTGATTTGAGGTTTACCTATGTTCTTGCTGGATGGGAGGGTTCCGCACATGACTTAGTGGTTCTCAAGGCTGCTCTTAGAAGATCAAGTGGAATTCAAATACCTGAAGGTGTGCATGAAGCTTTAGTATTTTCAGGTGCACAATATTTTGTGACAAGGCAATAAAACCATTCATCTTCTGTTGTAGGCAAATACTATTTAGCCGATGCAGGGTATGCAGCAAGACCTGGTATACTACCACCATTTAGGGGTGTTCGATACCACCTGAAAGAGTACGAAGGCGGGAAATCACCAGAAACACCTCAAGAATTATTCAATCTTCGACATTCCTCCCTTCGCACATCTGTTGAGAGAGCATTTGGAACCTTAAAAAACCGTTTCAAAGTTCTTGCTAGCAAGCCTTTCTTTCCATATAAAGTCCAAGTGAAGATAGTAATAGCGTGTTGTGTACTGCATAATTGGATCCTTGATAATGGTCCTGATAACATCATATATGATGAAGCTCGTTGGTATAGTAAGCTACCTAGATCAGCTAGAGTAGCGACAGATTATGGCGAGGAGCACCAACAGTGGGTAGAATTTCGAGAAAATCTAGCTAATATTATGTGGGAGGAACATTAACAGTGGTGTTGTATGGCATGGATATTGTTCTATGACTGTTAGCTATTTCTAATGAATTCTTCTTTCAGCTCTTCATATTATAGCATTTTCTACTTTATGTTTTTTTGTTGGATGCCATTATTACCTACTGTGCATTGCTTTGTAGTTCATAACATGGATATAGGAGGAAGCAACAAACATGGCAAGGGAAAAAGTAAGGCACGCAAAGGAGTTGGGGGATCAGGTGTGAGGTCAAAACCCATAAATTGGCCACCAGCATTCTCTGAATTTCTTCTTGACTGGTACATTGAAAAGAAGTTAGAGCTGCCACCAAAGGGAGTGATCAAGAAGATGCATCACACTGCTTGCACATCAGCTATTAATGCAAAGTATGGCAGTACTTACAATGTTGATCAGGTTCAACGACACTATAGGTGCCATAAAGAGACTTGGGCACTTGTAGCTCGCCATCTAAATGAGAGTGGTGGTGGCTGGGATGAGACAAACAAAATGTTGTCTCTCTCCCAATCTACCTTGGATAGCCTATCGGTAATCTCTTGTTGTTTTGAATACATGATATATTTGTTAAATAGATTTTCTATTATTGATGACTTTTTCTTGGCAGATTAATGACCGTGGAATTCTTTCAAAGCCTATTCAGTTCTTCGATAAGCTGCAAGAGTTGTTTAGTGGTTCCTCGGCTGATGGAGCGTTTATGGAAGATCCTTCAAGTGTTGCTGATTTTGATGATGAAGCTGATGAACTTGATAATTTCAATGATATGTCAACCTATGCTGAAACAAAATATCCACAAGGGGAAGACTCGGACAAATTAGAGGCAGACAGTGATGATTGCAAGGAGGTGGCAGCCCTTAATGCAGCAACTGCAGCCCTTAATGCAGCAACTAGTCAAGTTTCATCTTCTCATACCAGTGGTCTGAAGCCAAACAAGAAGAGTTTCAAAAAGTGTGGGAAGCCAAAGACCTTGCCTCAATCACATAATGATAAGGGTAAGCTTAAGGCAAAGTCATCATCTGGATTGCATGATGATGATGATATTGATGTGCTGATCACTAGTACCTTGGTTGGAATCAAAGATAACCTTGCCAAACCAATACAGACTGCAGCCCCTCAAGATCCAAATGCCCCTCTATGGGACATGCTCAAGAAGATTGCCTTAGAACCTGAAGATAAAATGAGAGTTGGACTACACCTTTGCAAGCCAGAATTTCAAGCTCATCGCAGTTTTCTTATTAGCATGGGTCAAGAATATCTTGAACGTTGGGTTTACAAGTTCTTATCTGGTGATGATACAGGCCTCTAGTGAGCTATAGGTGCATATTGGTTGCAAAAGCTAATCGTGGTTGATGAGGGTCTATATTTTGCTGCACCCTTTTGGTCATGCAATTGCCGCACTATATATGTGTTTAGACAATTGCTAAATATTAACATAGATACTATGATGATGCATGCTGTGACATGCTAATCTGCTAGTAGTGTTGCTTTCTAACTTTTGGACAAGTTGATAACCCTAGCTTTGTGGCCCTTTTCTTTTGTCTTGTTTAACTCGTGGCATTACTGGCTAGAACTGATCTGTATGATGGCTGAAACTTGATGTTAAATATATTCACTATTTCCCTGTTGCCATTTGCATGTTTAACAATATGTGATGCTTTTATCATTAGGAAATGGAAGATCGTTTGACAATTGTTTGGCAAAATCTTGGTAGAGGGTACTCTCACCATCTACATAGTATACGGTGAGTGTATGCTCAGGCAGAATATAAGCCAAACACTGCCTAACCCTTATGTCCACTCAGGCATGTTCTCAGGGCTTCAACCAAACACCTCCTTAAATTTGTGTCATGCCTGGACAGGTACTTTCTGCAAGCAAGCTCAGGCAGCCCTCAGGGATGGAAAATACTCAGGCAGGTTGCTCAGGGTAGCAACCAAACAGGCCCAATGTGACTAGTATGACTTCAGGGGTGTTGTGGGGAAAAATATCTAGAAATAGCCATCCCCCAATTCCCCTTGTCGTGGGGAGCCCCCCAAGCTGTGCCACTGCGTGTCAGCGGGAGCAGCGTATCCTCCTCCACCTTTGCTGCTGTTGGTATTTCTTACCGATCACAGATAAAATCCGCAAGCGCACGGATATACCGATATAGCACTTCCCCTACGGAGTATTCCAAGGGTATCGAATCCAAGGGAACGTGTGTGATCAGATCTTCCTCTGGTTCATTCAAGGACACCAAGGAAATGATAGGCCAGGATAGAGAGGATTTACTGGTGAGAAACAATGTCTAGGGAAAGCTTAACTTTAATCTTAACGTAATACTTCAGGCACTGGCAATCCGCTATTCCCAGATGTCGCTATAGTATGTACCTGGACAGAGAGGACTTAAGTGCTCTTGAGGGCTGTCACCACCTCTACACCTACCTCAATCGAACTGTGGGATACGCAGCAACCACTAGAAATTAATTACCCAGACACCGCGTCTACGCAATTAATAACTACTCTAGTGCCAAGAGATAATTCTCACAAGATGTATGCTATTTAGGAACTAACCAAGAGATAATTCTCACAAGATAAATCTAAATTACTCAGGAAGAATATTATATTGAATTCAGAGTAATAAACAGAATAAAAGAAATGAGAGAAGATTACCGACAACTCCGGAATTCTTCCGACTTCTTCTACTCTACTCTCTTCCTATTCTAGTATACAATATAGTACAATAGAGCCTCTTATAATTCAGCTCAAGCTTGGAAGTGTGTGTGAGAGTGAAGGAGTGAAGCTCCTTTTATAGGGCAGTTATGACGGTTGTGAGAAGGGGAAATGTCCGAACTGCCCCGCAACCGCCATCAGGAGATCATCTGGAGCGTCCACGCCAAACCCTAGGATCAACGGTGATCAGGGGGGTTCGGCCGAACCATGGGGTACAGCCGAACCTGGGCTAGGCCCTCCCGGCCTGTGGACTCCCTGGACTCTCCTCTGTCCATTTCTCGGAGTTTCAGGTTGATTTTCTGGTATTTTGATGAAGTTCACAACCCATCCTTGTATGGATACGTAATTCTCCTCACTTTAGTCTAGATTTCCTCCCAACCCCAGGGTTTATCACCTGCATATAAATATACACCAACGCTTGTGGAATTTGTAAGGTTAAGCACCTATCACTATGTTGGATGTTTTATTATCTGGACTTTTATGCAGATGTTGGCGGTATAGAATCGACATTTAATAGCTGCCAACAAAACCCCCCACACTTAGCTCTTTGCTCGTCCCTGAGTAAAGGTTAGTGTAGAATGAATTCCTTTAAGATATAAATCAGGCATATAAATCATTCACAACCATACCTGCACCTGTGAGCTTTACCAGTGGCTATCTTACCATCTTGAGTAATTGATAAATGGAACGATCTCGATTCCAGTCCTTCTTGCTTCCCCTGTCAAACTCATGTGATTTTTTGATGAATTTTCACAAACCAACTCCTTTCCTTATATTGACTCTCTCTCTCTCTCTTATCTCTCATGGATGTATATTTTCTTTTTGGATCCTCACCAAGGCAAAATGTGCCAGAATTTACCCCTATTCTAAGGCTGATATGTGGAGCTCGGTAGGGACAAATTGTGACATACCTGCATCATATATATTGCAAAGCCAAAAATACGGACTCAAAAAGATCATCAGTCATACTCCTAGATAAAGGGTCTTTATTTGTGGTAGAAAATGGAAAAGTAAAATATTTGTGGAATGGTGGAATAAAGAAATGATTATCCCTTTTTTTTATACTTTCTCTCCATTTTGTTTTCTTGGCATGAATATGGAAGGGGCATGGCTATATTTCCTTTTCATCATGCTCAATGTTTTGAAAGCAAGCTTTATTTCCTCCCCATTTTTTAATAGCCATGCCTTTCCTCCCTTTTCTCATTTTTCTTTTTTCCAAGAACCTTTTTTTTAGGAGAAGGAAGCATAGTCTAATGTAGGAGTTTATTTGAATGGAATTTTTGTGGGAAGCCAACTTCCAGTGTAGAAGCTTAGCTTAATTATATTTGTGGAAATGAAAGTGGAAATGACCCCTTGATCATGAGAGTATGAAAAATATCTAACACGAGTCACATAAATTTGACAAAGCTCATTATAATGTCAAGTAGTCATATGCATAACTAGGGGATTCCCCGTGCTTTGTTGCGGGAGTTACTAAGTAATTTTTAATATTATTTTTCGTTACAATTCAGCTATGAGTAAAAAAGAAAAAAAAATCAAATCTCAGAGCTTATCAATATTTATCGTGAAACAAATGAAATTCGCACTTTAATTTAGAACATGTTGATAAGTGTATATTAAATATTATAAAAAATGAAAGAGAGATTTGTAAAACTATTGTGGAAATGATGTGAGAGGTGGTGATTGAATATGCTTACATATTAATTTGTAGAATTAAATAGATTATAGATGCTCTTGCATGCTTGCATGAGGTTGAATATGTAATTATTGTTAGTGGGTGATGATGTGGCATGGTTGCATGTTAAGCTTTAGAGTTAGTGGGTTATAACTTTATAGAAAGTATAGATAAGATTTATCAATGATATACTTGCATATGGCCTTGGTAGGTATAAAATGAAGTCAATTGGAGGAATGAGATTTTAAAACAATTTTATTTTGAAAACAAATTCCCAAAAGTCAAAACAAAAGTTGCAAGAATTCCTTTCATCTTTAATCATCTCACATAAAGCAATCACTTAGATGCATAAGGGTCCATAAACATGGATGGTTGTTCACAAGCACAAGTTCAACTGTGAATAATGAATATACAAGATCAATCATATGAAGAATTTCATTAGTTGGAAATTTTTATTTTTTCAATTATGCTTGAACCAATTGTTTTCTGAATTTTCAGCTCTATACTATACCATGGTGGAGATATACAGATAAAAGATGTGCTCACCTGCTTACATGTGAAAATTAAGAGGGATTGGGGCAGCTTTGGTTCAGCCGAACCAATCTGGTGCCCATTCCCTCTGCAATTTTTAGTAGAGTTCAGTGCTTCCAGGTGTTCAGAAATTTTAGCAATTTTCAGAGTATGCGCACGTCAGAAGCTGAGATATCTCCCCCACACTTATTCAAAACCTGAACTTTATTAATCATGAAACAAAAACAAACTCGACATGCATTGGGGTTAACACCAATGAGCCACATTATT